CGAAGCGATTGAGGGGTTCGAGCCCGATCTTGACATTCTTTTCTTGGGCAAAAGCCGCGACTTCCCGTAGACCTTCCACAACCCATTTCCATTCATTCTCCGGTGTTGAGGTGGGAACTATCTTTCCGACTCTCGCTGGAACCACCGTGACGATCTGCCCTCCCAATTCAGCACACATCAAGACGACGTCCTTCATGTAGTCTATCGTCGCTCGCCGTTGTTGCGGGTCGGCTGCCGTCAAGTCTCGAGTGCCATGCTGCAAAGTGACAGTGCCCCAGCATTTTATGTTGTAATGCTCGAGCAGTCGACGGGTTTCATCGATAGGGTACTGATCAGGTTCGCCTGCTAATTCGATGCTGGTGTATCCGAGACTACGGGCACGGTCAAGGCTGCGCTCAAGCGGCTCTGGCCGCATCCAAGTATGTGTAGAAAGATGCATTGTTTTATTTTAGAACTTGAAGCATGATGAGATTGGTTCCACATGAACTCCGTCTTGCAGAAAGTCGGAGGAATATATATCACACGGAGACGGAAACACCAAATTTTCTGTCAGGTTACACTTCCGTTTTACTGCGTAGATTATAACGGAAGTACTCTTGTTCCTCTTTTCCGTATTACACAGCGGAAGAGGGAGGCTGCAGTAAATTAGTGAGCGGAAGTGGAGCCTGTTAACTAAACGGAAAGTGGAGATCCTCTAGGGGTTGTAAGTTGCCGCATCTGGCAACGGGAAAGGAATCTCGTGTTCCGTCATCTGGATATAACTCAATCACTGAACAAAGGTAAGGTGCTCCCCTGCTTCAAATCAAATCTAGAGTAACAGTTCCGAGAGTGATCATAAATAATCATCGTCTAAAATTTTCAATCAAAAAGTATCGAAAATGTCTTCCCAAACCTGGCCAGACGAATCAATGTTTCAACACTTCACGGTGTTCGAAGAAACGCAAGCAATCTCTCTATTTTTACTGCACTATTTCAGTACTTTCTAACTATTACACAGATTCAAAGTCGTTGAGTCTCATGAAATCAAAGCTGCAATCCTCATCCCGAAAGGCGCCAAACCAGGATCACACCCGGTTATTCTAAACACCCACGGAGGATTTCTTACATATGGCCATTCCCTCTTCGCGCCCTTTTTCTCGCCATGGGCACTTAAGTTAGCGCTCGAAAACGCTGCGATTGTGGTGTCTGCTGATTATCGGTTGCTGCCTTCGGCGAACGGCGTAGCGGATGTTTTGGAAGATCTCGAGGACTTCTGGCAATGGACACACACAGACCTCGCAGAGATTCTTGAACGCCGTGCTACCGGTCACTCGCTAGACCTCTCCCGTGTCATGGTCACTGGTCAATCAGCGGGCGGTTACACGACCATGCAACTTGCGCTATCACACCCAGACGAGATCTCAGCTGTTGCCGTGGCGTACCCTTTCGTGAACCCGAAAGACCGCATCATGACGGAAGGCCCAGCTCCCGGGGAGCCTACTGTACTTCGCTTTGTACCAGAAGACATTCCATCAAAACAAGATGTAGAGGCTTGGATCGAGAATGCGAAGAAAACGATCACGACAAAGGCCGGTTTTGAGAGGACACGTTTTAGTGTCGGTTCAGCACAACACGGCATTTTCTATTCCCAGATTTTTGATAGCTCTAACCTGGATCGGCCCGACTTCCTGCCGATAGAAAGACTCAAAGCAGGCGCGAGACTGCCTCAGAACATGTAAGCCAAGAAAGTTCCATAATTCCGATGGCCTGATACTAACGATAATTTAGATGGATATTGCATGGAGGTGATGATTCGGTAGTATACCTCCGAACTACTGAGGAGTTTGTCAGATTAGCCCGGGAGAAGCTCCCAGATACCAACATAAGATTCGATATAGCCCCCGGTGAAGACCATGCATTTGACCTCTTTAAGACCTGGTGGGAATTGTATACCATTGGCGCTATGGATTTCGTGAAGAAGTCGTGGTTGCGGGAATAGAGCATGAAAAGGCTTTATTATTACCTCAAATGTTTTCTCAGGGAAAGGCTATTTAACCCCCGTCATGTTTGATCGAAGTGTTCGTGCTAGGCGACTGCCATGTTCCCAGGATTGGCCGTTCCCAGTCAGCGCAGAAAAGAAAAGTGCAATCCAAGTAGCCAGGGCGCAATTGCAGATCGGAACACCACTAAACTGAATCAAGCCACCATCCTGGATCCATTCGGTCAGCCTTGGCCCATGTCCGACGACAAGCAATTCTGTATCAATATCAACATGGCCGACCCCAGGTACGCAGAGACAAGTATCTCCCATTGCCAATAAGAGCGTGCATACAACTAGAGCACTGGCTTCTAAACCCATAAAAGCAACGGGGTCTAGTGAATCGCTCTGTAGTCTGATCGTCGACTTGATGCCTCCGTATGCTTTCAATATTGACAATGCGTGCAAGAGTGCTTTCCGGCTGTCACTCGTGATCGCCCACTGCTGCACACGAGCTTGTCTTTCTGCATCATTGGTCGAAATAATGTGATAATTGCTCCATAATGTTGAAGAGCCTGTAATAACCGACCATAAGTTCCGTATATCCGCGTAGAGATGAACGCTGAGAAGGTGATAGAGTATCGTTGTGTTGAAAATTGCAACGCTGATGCGAGTCATGACAGGTGCGGTCCAGCTATCAGAACTAGGATCCTCCTTCATCAAATAGAACTTCATCAATTTCTCAAATGGACCTGTGTTTCGTGGGCCATTGATGATAGCCAATATCTTGTCCAGTTCGAATTTCCAGACGTCAAGCTGTTGTGCTAGTGAGTCCTGGAGAGGATTTGTGAGTGGCAATGCGGGATTGTTTGCTCGCGTCTGAGTGTAGTTCCAAATTTCTCGCCGGACTCCACAGAGGCCAATTTGAATGTCTTCTATGAGAATACCACTAGACAATGTGGGTATAGACCCACTGGTCAATTCGGAGATTCTGGCTTTGGTACGATCGAGAGGTTCTTCTCGGTATCTCTTGAAGAAAACATTCAAGCCGTGGGCATTCCATGCAGCGCAAGTCGATGTTAGTATAAGATCTAACTCTTCCCTCTGTAGTACAGGGGGCTGACCGCTTAAAAGCGACAGATATGTGTCGATAATGAGGGCGCCCGCAGCGATCCTGATAGGTTAGCATGTGCGTCACTGCAGAATCCAAATCATCGGATTACGGACCTGCTCCAGCGTTCATAAGTCATGTGAACCCAGGGTATGAATGTCCCTGGGTGGTGAGTTGCCCGTTGATGCTCCACCGCCTCAGAGTTGAAGGCGCCCTTCTCACGAAGTGTTGCAACGAAAAGACCATGTAAAACACGCGCTCTAGCAATAATCTGCTCATTCTAATACAATATTAGTTACAGCCTGTTTTAATGCTATTTCATACTTACCCCAGTTTCAAATGCGAAAATGATATTGACTAGAGTAGCCTGATAAGTCTCGTGTGGCCACGGCTGGTCATCACCATGGTTTGCTTGTGTTATTGCCTCAACTGTGTTAGCTACATGACTGGAGCTGTGACTTGTGAACATTACCATTTCCTCAAAGAACTGCGTTACGAGAGCTTTATGCACCTCTATAGCGGATTCTTTGACACTTTCTGCACCCTGCAGCCATGATCCAATGGTTAATACGGAAGCGATTACCGATGCAGAAAGCTCTGTCTCGTCAAACGTTGGCTCATGTATGATTGGCCAGCGGCAACTGAAATGTTGGAAAAAAGACTCAATTGCCGATGCAACCCATCCTTTAAGAACATCTGCTTGAAGGGACTCTCTCCATGAATCCGAACCGGAACGAGATATTGACATGGCGTCAAGCACTGATCGGAGTCCGAGCTGCGCGGTCGCCACTTCGTTGTCACTTCGTGCTGTATCCTCTGCCGGCCTGATTGGACTAGTGTGACCTGCATTTGATGCCGTTGATATGGTAGGGGCTGGTGAATCTTCTTCACGTGTTGAGTGGTCGACTAGTTCTTGAGCCTCTCGAACTTGCGCCACGTCTCTAGCTGCAACCAGAGTCTGAGCTGCAATGACAGGCTCCTGCTGCTCAACGACGTGTGGAGCACTCGTTGTGCCCGCTATCGTTGGTCTATTATATGTGCAGTCAATCCCTCGCTTCTTGCAAAGCGAGCATTTTTCTCCCCCATCACACTTAGTCTTGTTGTCATGGCAGGCATCGCAGGCACGATTCCTGCGTGTATCTGGTAACGGGGCCGACTCATGGACGTTGATATGTCGGCGCAAAAGATCGCTGCATCAATAATTAGACAGTCATAGTCAACTACTGTCGAGGTGCAAGAAACGTCCTTACTTGCGAGTGAAGGAGCGACTGCAAATATGACAGATGTGGGAACGCTCCCCATGAGTTGCTTGATGCCGCTTGAGATGTTCTTTTCTTAAGAAGCTCTTGCCGCAGTGACATATGTGACGGTCAGGCGATTCTTGGCTCATGTTTAAACACTCGGCTCACGCCCCAAATGCACAGTCATCGTACAAATAACCACGAAGCTAGCAACTACAGCTGTGGAATAGGCAGTTAAAATTGACGCCCACTCGGAATGTTAAGACAGGAGGCGTTGAGGCGAAGCTTCGAGTCAGTGCACCTTGAAGACCCACAACTTTCATCCCACTCGGCTCTCCCACTCTCCCACCTTGTTATCCCGCTTGGTCATCCCACTCGGCGCGTCTCTGTTGAACACCGCACGCTATGCTTAGTTCATCATAAAACACCACTGGCGCACTAGATGACGCCGCTGCGCCGTATCATTACTAAACTGTCTCAGTATGGATCCGAAAGTCTATTGCGAATGCAATGGGTCGACGGTCTCATGAGGCGTATAAAACACCCAGTCTGGCGTCGTGTTCAGGATGGATCAAGATGTGAATTTAACACTCCCAATAACGACAAGAGGATCTTTCAGAACAATAAAAACTTTCTTTGATCGTCTGAAGATAATTTACGGAAAGACAGACCGAAAACAATCAGACTTACCATGGCATCTATCAAGAACGTCGCGATTGCTGGTGCTGCAGGTAGTCTGGGCTCTGTCGTCTTTAAGCAGCTCGTGAACTCTGGGAAGTACAACGTCAGAGTGCTGAGACGTCTTGGCTCTCAATCGAAGTACCCCCCCGGAACCGATGTTGCGGATGTCGACTTCGAGTCTGTAGACTCATTGAAGGCAGCTCTTGCAGGCCAAGACGCCGTGGTTGCCACACTTGCCACCGAGTCAATTGGCGCTCAGAAGACATTGATCGACGCCTCAATCGCTGCTGGAGTGAAGCGTTTCCTCCCTTCCGACTTCGGATCAAATCTCGACAACCCCAAGACACGAGCGCTCCCGGTGTATACTCAGAAAGTCCAAATTCAAGACTACCTAGCCGAGAAGGCCAAAACAACAGGCCTTACCTACACAATCGTGTATAACTCTGCCTTCCTCGATTGGGGTCTCGAAAAAGGTTTCATTTTGAACACATCTGACGGAAAGCCCACAATAATCGATGGCGGTGACTTGCCATTCTCGGCTACGACCTTGACGACCGTGGGCGATGCTGTCGTGGCAGTGTTGGCTCACCCCGAGGAAACAAAGAACCGGGCCGTTTACATCGAGGATATTAAGGTCACTCAGAACCAGCTTCTTGCCATTGCTAAGAAGCTTGCACCCCACAAGACTTGGCAGCCTCAGCATGTGAAGCTGGATGATATGACTGCTGCCGCAGATGCCAGACTCAAACAGGGGTTGTTTGACATGCAAACCTTTGCCCCGTATCTGTTCCGTGCAGTTTTGGACCAGGAGTATGGTGGCAACTTCACCAAAACTGACAATGAGCTTCTGGGGTTGAAGGGAAAGACCGAGAAGGACATTGCTGGTATTCTTGAGCCATTGTTAAAATAGGGGCCAGGTAGAACTGTGATCAATATATAGTATAAAGCACAGTAAAGATGCGAACCTGACGGTTGTTTCCGCATGATATAACGGATGCCGCTGCGGCTCTTAAATGAGTATGTGCGTTGCGAAATATGACCTATTATGGTGATATTGTTGTGCAGAATATGGGGCAACGGTCTTGATCTATTGGCCTGCCATCCTTGTAGGTTGCTGATCCTTCGAGTTCCAACTCACCAGTGCTGACTGTTCACCTTGGCTGCCTGCCTCGACCTGGTTACTGTTGGAATCGGCTGTCCCACTTCCGAATCCTCCAGTGCCCAGCACTGATTAAGCGTGTGTCTAGCCCTGTAACCCTTGAACAATGACGTGCAGGGCTACATGTTGGAGTTCCCGCAGGTCAAGATTCTAATTATCTACAGCAACGACTGTTTAGACAACGCTCCAGTCTGATCCAAGACCAGTGCATTTTCTGGAAATCTTTGCTTTTGCCTTGTTAGCTACTGAGGTCGTATTGATTAGCGACTGGACACCACATGAGAGGAAGAAAAGTCATGAAAAGAACAATCTTAGGCATCCGTAATGAGCCGCAGGTTCCATGTACAACGAATGCAGGCCGTTTTCGCCCCCAATGCCGGGTGGCTTGCTTCTTGTTGTTTTTATTAGAGGAGGCAGGGTTGCATCTTGCAGCATCCTGCCGCTTAGCGTTAGGAAGGAGGCAAATCCCTGAGGTGTGGCTGACCCCTGGATAATTATCTTGGATTGATAACCGAGCCAAGATCCCGATCGAATGGACTCAGATCTGAGAAACGTTTCACAAATCTTCACAGCTGCCCCATTTTCATTGTCGCAATAGCTCTTCAAAGGTCATTTGCGGTCCAATATGGCGAGTCAGGCAGCATACGTCCCTGTCGGCCAAAGTAGGAAACTCCTGGAAAGCTCGCCATCAAGGAACCAAAGGCACCCGTCTACGAACCCTTCATCCACACAACGTGACTGCTGGACTTCATGGATGAACAACGGTTGGCTGGTTGAGGCAGCCAGCACGGCTCTCGGTATACTATTTGTCGTCACCTTGGTTATTGTCTTACATGTATACGATGGCAGACCGGCCCCTCAGTTTGGTTCAGCTTTCGGTTCGTCGCTCACACCGAACACTATCACCGCTATTCTCTCGGCAGTGGCTAAGGCAGCTTTACTCCATCCTGTTGCCGAGTGTATCAGTCAGTTGAAATGGATATGGTTCTCTAAAGACTACCGACAGCTTAGCGACATGTCCGCATTCGACCAAGCGAGCCGTGGAGTTAGCGGGGGCTTTGGACTTCTTTGGGCAACAAAGTTGAGGACTTTTGCTGCCCTAGGCTCTCTTTTGATGGTATATGAGATTGCCATAGATCCATTATCACAACAGCTAGTTTCGTATGCTTCAGTCCCGGTTGCAATGTCGCTTAATTCGACGTCTCAGGCGACGGCGCCCATTGCCACGACTTGGAATGAAATACTGATAGGCGGCCAAGGTGGAATGGTCATCATGGGAACAAGTATGACCAACTTCTTCATGCTATTGACAACGAGCTAAGGATATGTAGGCGAGAATGACTATGGATATAGTGACATCTCGACTGGTATGAAAGGCGTGATTCTATCCGGAATATATAGCGGCAACGAGACAGTCGAGCACATTGCTCCATCTTGTCCCAGTCTCAACTGCACCTTCCCGACGTATTCATCACTCGCGGTTTGCACATCCTTTGCCAATGTTTCCTCTCATCTCGTCAAACAGAACATTTCGAAGAGCAATTTTGACTACCAAATACGTTATGCCTTATCGAACACGTCATACGTAAATGCAGGGCTAGGTTTCTTCAACGCGAGCTCTGCATCTTCGCCCGATGATATTCAGATTGGCAGCTCTTCACTGAATCTTTTGAATTTCAACAACTCGATAGCATTTAAAGATGTGACTCTGCCATTAGCAGATGTCTTTGTGATATATGGCAAAGACATTGAAGGGCAATACACTCGGCCAGATGGAGTCATCGAGGCCGGCCACCTGACTTATGGCGCTGTTGAATTCATTATGGAGTGGTGTGTACAGGATTTCACTACAGAGGTTGTCAATGGGAGTGCCGTGACAACACGTCACAAAGCTACGAGAAATTTCAGAAACCCGCCATTCCCGACAATTGATGTTGACGGGGTTACATACTCAATCTCTCCCGATACTCATACAAGTGCCTCCAGATTCCTTGATCGCATCTTGCGGGGTTCTGTTCAGGAAGGTAGACTCGATGTTCTCTCTCAACATTTCAAGCTCTTACTAAACAGTCGCCCAGGTCTTGATCAGTATTGGTATGCAAGTTCTGATATCGCACAAGCATTATACGAACCATATAATGTCTGGCAGGCGCATCCGACAGATGAAGTATTTACCCTTAGTCAAGGCATCAAAGGCACAAACCAGACTGGACTGGAGTTAATCATCAATAATATTGCCAACGGCATGACGAATTTGTAAGCCAACCGAGCTGCCATATGGCAAGTAATATGACTAACATATGAGCAGCATACGAGCGTACCCGGACAATGTTGCAGAGGGAACGATGTTCACCCAGCAGATTGTGGTACGAGTTCGGTGGAAGTGGATCACTGCGCACGTAGTGTTCATAGCACTATGTGTGCTGCTACTGATGTCCACCATAATCGCTACACATCTCAGCGTCCTGAAAAACCTGGTGTGGAAATCTTCCTCGTCTGCTGTTCTCCACGCTCTGAGTCCTAGTCTGCAGCAAGAAGTCCGAGGAATTATGACTGAATCCGAACTGAAGATAGCTGATCAGGAACAACTTGTTCGCTTGTGCAATTTAGAAAGCGATGGATGGCGGCTTCTAGCTCACGATAGCAGTTAACTTAGTGAACAAACGATTTGCGGTTGCAAGAACTCTACATGATTGAATAAGAAAGCATTGATGAGTGGACGATTTATCTAATTAAGCTTGAACGGCTAATGTGAATTCCACGCTAAACCCATATACATGTAGAGTTTATTATAGAGTATAGATCAAACAAATGTCTGAGGCGTAGATACTATGACATTCTGTATTTGTGTCTTTCAAATTTCGAGCTTCTGTATTCTCATCTACCTCTAAACTCTGAACTCTTATTTAGTCAGAGGATGCTCAACTTGTCTTATTTCTCCCTTCTCTTGATCGTCTCCAGCTTTCCCATCATAGTAGAGGTGATCAATACCCTCTAGGCCAAATAACTCATCCATGTCCTCAAGACTCAAATTCTTAGTCTCTGGCACAAAAAAGAAGACCCAAGGAATAGCAAGCGTCATGCTCGATGCAAAGAGGAAGTACGTGCCGTACTTGATATTGCTGATCATATAGGGGGTGCTCCGGGCAATGACGAAGTTCATAACCCAATGTATTGCAACACATATAGATATGCATTGTGATCTAATACGCAAAGGAAAGATTTCCGACGAGTAAATCCAGGGTATACCTGCCCACGAAAAGCACCATCCAACGGCGTAGACGTAGATCATGACGACGGCGGCGTATCCGCCGGCTGTGATGTGTGTAGCCCCTTTACTGGGCGGATGGGCGACCTTGACATAGGCGCCAATATACCACATAGCGATAGCCTGGAAATCCGTTAGAGCGACTTTCTTATCCGTACTTAGCCCACTGACTTACCATTATACCGCTTCCTACCATGAGAGTTCTCGTTCGGCCAAACCGGTCGACGATGAAGACCATGGCGATGATAATTGCCACGAATCGCACTGCTCCGTAAATTCCGGTGGCGAAGAGGCCAGTGTTCGTACCGGTCAGACCAATACTCTTGAATATTGTAGGGCTATAATAATTAATTGCGTTTGAGCCAGCCATCTGCATGAAAATGAACATGAGTGCACCAATAAGGAGTCTCTGCCGGTTGCCCGGCTTTGCCATCTCTTTCAATGACGACTTAAAGCTCTTTCCTTCAGAGAGAGTCATCTCGTGTTCCATTTGTTGGAAGATGCCATGGGCTTCTTCCATCAGATAGGGGTGATCGGGCGGGATGCCACGAAGCTTCTGCAAGACGCGGAGGCAAGCTTCACGACCCTTATTGGCCGCCAGCCATCTGAGGGATGTCAGCAGCGGTACTTCTAAAGTGAGGGCACTGGTTTACACACCTGGGAGACTCTGGAATAAGAAAGACGCCAATCATGAGCAGTCCTCCAGGAATCAGTTGCACGGCGAAAGTGATGATCCACTGTGTTGAAGTTGCGGGAAGGTTCCTTTGAAGGCCATAATTGATCCAGAAGCCTATCAACGTTCCCATCGACACGCCGATCTCGTAGATACCCACAAGCCGTCCTCTAATAGTTGGTGGAGAGGCTTCGGCTACATAAAGGGGTACAATCATGCTAGCAGCGCCGACTCCAACACCCCCAACGCATCGGCCAGCCAGCATCATTCCCTCAGAGCCATGAGCACCAGTTTGTATGGCCGAACCGACGTTATAGAATATGGCCGTCAAGAAGAGTGTTACCAGCCGTCCCCATTTGTCGCTGACAGGACCGGCTGCTAGCGAGCCAACAATACACCCAACTTGTAGTAGTGACACTACGTTGGCTTTGAAAGCGGATTCTCGAGAAGTTGAAGCATTCTCAAGACCAAAGTCGCTATTTAGAGAATTAGACTTTATGCTTCACGAGTGAACCTTGACATACTTCTGGAAGGAGTCTAGCTCCATTGCAGTTCCAATGAAGCCCAAGTCATATCCGAACATTACAGCTCCCATACTGCTGATCAGAGCCAGAACGTAAACTCGATAGTTGAATACCTCTTTGGGGGTGGGTATACCCATTTCGATATTCTGCCGTGAAGCCCTCATATTAACGTCTTGGAAACCGCAGTCCTAAAAGGTTGATAAAATTTGAGTGTGCTTTATGCTGGGCTCAAGCAGGCCATCCGAGCACGGGGAGGTTCGATTTCATCTCTATTATAGTCTTCCTTCTCACGCGGGGACTCGGAGAATCTGGGGTCGAGGTGTGCGGGGGAGTCAGGAATGATCACTAGCACCGCGGTCTAGCAGGGTAGTGTGAGCTAACATCGTGCAACTTTTGCTGAATTATCCATGGTTTGTTAGATCCCGCGGCACGACTGACTCAGCTTACCGTCGGAAGTCCACGGCACCTTGAGACCGAATCAGAATAGCAATCTTTCAACTTTTCATTATCTGAATTGGCATCTTGGCAATGATTGCACAACTCGTAAATGCAGTCAACCCTTCTTCACGTACATAATCACGAGCTGTACGCAGGAGTTGAGAATTCGTAAAGAGCCATGCATACCTCAATTATATACTCTAAAGGAAGCTTAGAGTGAGATATTGAGTGACACTATCGAATACTAAAGCTTACACGCAATCTAACTTGCTTTCGTCTTATTTCATGTGTAGTCTATGCTTATAATCTACAAGGCTTATACAGTTGTATCTAAACTTGGGGGCAGATTAACAATCACGCTCCCTTCAAATAACCTCCGTGCAGTTCTAGCAACCTTAGCGTACTCAACCGTGACTTCATCTCCACTGCCGAATTGCGTCTTGACTGCAACATCAATTGTCCCCGATGAGTGGCCGATCAAAAACATCCTCTCTCCTTGTGAGCAGTCATCTTCGCTTTGTTCGGCTTCCTCATCGCTACTAGGTGGTGAAGGGGGCTGCTCGTCCGTCATCTCTCTCATTATCGACAATCGTGAAGCAATAGTTCCAGGAATGCTGAGAGCAGCTCCAAGGCAGACGGCGCCAGTGAGCTGTAGGCTGGGGTGTGGCTTGCCCATGCTGAAAGCAAGAACTCTTATATCGAGTTTACTCTCGGTTGGAGGAGGGCTCAGCAGCGCAATCTTGGGTGTTCCACGCACTCGGCCGGCTTCCTCCTCTGATGTCGCCAATCCGTACCTGACGGCTCCAGCTTTGCGAACATTCTCCACCGCTTCAATAAATTCCGTCGAGTCTGGCGATAGTGACCTCATGCCGATGGGCAGCGTAGCACGGTCGACAAATATGAACGGATTGGCGGCATCAATCAATGTGACCTTGATCGACGTCGTTTTGCCTGCTATCATCACGGCCAGTCGCTCCTCTCTCTTCCCACTAGGGAAGAGCTTCCTCGTCATGCTACCAGCAGGATCCATAAAGGCCACATCAATCCGACTTCCAGAGCCGCTGAAGCCTCCAATATGATAGTCACCTTCCGGTTGAAAATAGCCGAATTCATCAACCTCTACTGTTTCTATTAATTGTGTGTCGGTATTGGTATTGTAGACACGGATGTCAACCTGTATCAAGTCAGTCCGTTGAGCGCGTGTCAATCGACTGGATGGAACAAACCTTCGAAATTCCCTTTGGTGCCTCGATAAGGCCCTCGTCTAGAGCAAAGGCGCCAATACCGGAAGCCATATTGCCACAGTTTCCAGAGAAGTCCAGCAAACCTCCTCCAACTGGCACTTGAATGAAGGTGTACTCGACATCGACATCTTTTCGTTCACTTCTGGAGACTACTACCACTTTGGATGTTGTAGAGGAGCCGCCACCTACACCATTGAGTTGTCTTTTGTCACCATCCAGAGAGCCCATTGCCCCTAGGATGATAGGCGACCACTCTTTGATATCGGCAGGTAAGTCTTCACGTTTTAGAAACAACCCTTTGGACGTCCCGGATCGCATTAGGACTGACGGTACAACCCGTCTCCTCGGGTTTGGTATCTTCCTCAGAGGCATTGGCGATCTATTTTGGAAATACAAAGGAAAACTTGGGTAGTGTTGAGCAGTATGGCTAATGTCCTCTAACACAGATGGCAGTCTTAGTGAAAGTGTCCTCGATAACATTGGAAGAGTATCTCACCGTTGAAGTAGTGGCATCCAAAGTGCCAAGTTAGGAGAATCGTGCATTTATGAATCTTGAATGTCTCACTTTCCGCAGCTTCATCCATTCTGTGCTTGAGAAAGTGAAGACATCCTTCAGGGCGGGACGCGGACGGGCCCTCACGGCTATTCTACGGAGGCTCATTCTGGACTAGGAAGCTGTACTCCGCCGCTTGCAATTACCTAGCTACCATTCCGTGGAAGATGCTGTCTCCGGTTAACGGAAGCTGCTCTTGTAAACCTGGAGATAGTTGGTTTGAGGGGAAGAAGTTGCGCTAACCCCTGAGATGCCGCGGGAAGTCGAAGTTGGAGCAGCACTAACAAGCGCCTCGTCTCCACGCGTTGTGGCACAGGCGGGTCCACCTATGCCTGCCAGGTCGATTGCAGTCATTTATGAGGCCTATAGACACTGAGGGATTACTTATTAGTCCTCGACCCCGCACCGTACTTCCTCTAAATCATGAGGCGCCATACCTGCTTCAGGCGTGCTGCTTCCCTGGCCAGCACAGAATCCAAACACCCTGGATCTATCAAACATTGATTGAAGATGATCACACCGGAGAACTGGCTGCGTATGTTGAGGTTCGATGATGGCTGACAACAAGCACCGCAAGGATACAATCGTCATTGTGAAGAGTCCTGAATTCTGCGCATGTCCGCCATCGTTTAGTGTCCATAGCTTCGCCCTAGCCCTAACGCGTCGCCGGTGACTCAATAACAACAACAGTTCATTCAACCAGTAGACAAAACTCCTGCAAAGTACTGAGCGGAATTGTGACGGTGACCGTGTTTCGATAACAACGATGTAGCAAGATAATATTCTACACACTTCAGAATGGGCTCAGAAAATCATTACGCGCTGCCCTCATCACCGACGAATAGATGCGTTGACCGATTTAGCATTACGGTGGACACCGAGGAGGATGAAAACGGCCAGATTCCTTTCTGGGCACTCCTCTCCGAGCTGTTGTTTGGCGATATAACCTCACCAGAGACACTCATTGACCTTCTAGAAACCATATCTGTCACTACTCACGATTCGTCTGGCCTTGCGGGAGACTACGGGACACTACGGAAGTTTCTTGCCTCCCGGCCGAAGTTCTTCCAGACGCAATGGCCGACGCTCGTGAAAATCGCGCTGAGCATGCCACAACTCTTCCCCGGCAACACATTGCCTGTTCTAGGACGCGACCGCGCAGCAAATAGTGTCCAGCTGAGCCGTAAGCAGGTGGGATGCCTCGTTATACATCAATTTCTCGGTACCTTGAAAGCTCCGTCCTGGAAGGATGACGGATTACATGATTTCGCGGCCTGGTATGGAAATGAGCAACGACACCTCCAAGCCATGTCCGCTTACTTGGAGTCTTTGTTCTCGTATTTTGACAAGCTCGTGACATTTTCTGGTGATTCTGAAGCGTCTGGGGAGGATTCGCCTGTATGCTATGCTTTACGCGACTCCTCATCTATCAGGGCGGGGATTTTCAACAATGTTTCTAATGAGACAGTACCTCTATCTGAGCTTACCGTTCGCATTGTTGAGAGGTATAGCACTGATCCGTCTGCGTTGGGGCTGCCTCATGGCGCATGTGTGGTGTCTGCCAATCGCTTCGTTGGCTTTGGACAGTCCGCCACCCAGGAAGAGATCCATGTTGGTTGCTCACCGGAAGCCTGCCCGGCGGTGCTCATTACACCGCCGCTACAAGACGACCAAGTCCTCATCGTTAAGGGACCGGAAGCAATGCTCAATATCAAAGGGCAACGACGCGATATTGCTGTTGAGCCTCAGCAATGGCCAGCGTCGTCGGTAGAGGCTTGGAAGGATCGCACCATGCTGTTCATGGACGCGCTTGAGCTAGACATGGTCTCTAGCGAGCTTGGCCTTCCAGACCTACAACCAGGCAATGTGGATCGCGAGATACGGAAGGCGGCAATTGCATTCTCGTCAGGGGAGTACGACGAGGTCCTCGTGGGTCTCTGGGGATGTGGTGCTTTCTGTGGGGATCCTGGAATAAAGATGACTGCTCTGTGGTGTGCGGCCTCACTCGCTGGTGTCAGATTACGCCTTGTTTTTGACGAACCGCAACGGACTTTTGCAGAGGAGTATGCAATGTTTAGTTTGAAAGTGCGACAATCCTATAGGACAGTCAACAGGCTGAGACAGATGCTGGACTCGGCTCCGCCAACTCTTGAGAGACACCATACGCTCGAGTGGTTTACAAAGCTTTTGGTAGATAACGGGACATGAATGGAGCCTCTTGGCTTTCAATTCATCTAAGATACACCTAGTAGCCTACTACGCTCTAATCAATGCCAGACAATGGCTCCTTGGCTAGCATCATTGTCATGCCTTGGGAGCACATCTAGTGGAGAGCATTATGTCACAGATGAGTTTTTAGAGTCATGCCCATGTGGACGGCTGATTCAGATTCATTCTGTTGGAAGATCTCCTAAGTAATAACTATAGGGCACAGAAAGCTCTAGGTTGCGGTCCACCTCTGGTGGTATGTAGCTATTATCCCCGAATATCAACATAGAAATCTCGCTTTCGGGCATTTTCCCTGTGTGTTCCGACCATAACCTGTATCTCTCCCTATATTTGTCTTCCAGTGACTCCCAACCTTCGTAGGTTTCGTTAGTTGACTGCATGGCAGCAGTCACAGAGAGAATTGCATATTCTAAATCTGCGATGCGATGGTTCTGCTCATATCGTTTCTGAAAGGCGTCACCTAGCCGACGCTGCCACTCGATTGGATCTTGGTGTCCATCAGGCATGAAATTTGATATTATGCGGATGATATCAAGAACATCTTCATCTATCTCTGGTATGTTGCCTGTCACCTCAAAGTATGTTCGAAGACTGTCTCGGAGCTGCACTATGAGGACGTCTTTCTGCAGAAGGAATTGCTGCCGTCCTTCCTCACGAGCGAGTTTCAAAGCAGCTAACCGGTCGGCAACGCTACCCCTCGGGCTTTTCAAGATTGCCATTTTGACGGCAGTAGCACGGCTGGCAACGGCTTCTTCCATATCTTTAGCGTCAGCCGTTACGTTGAAACGGTTGGTGAATGCAGTGGCGAGATTATGCAAAACCATTAATGGATTTGTAACGGAACTCTCTGCTTCGAGGGCTAGCAATTCTTGGGACACCTGAATCATACCGTCTATGTCCGATAAAGATTTGGTTTTCTTGAACCCGTCGTCGAAGAAATCATGGAGCACTCCCAGCATGGTCTCTTTGAGAGGATGTCCCTTTGGAATGATGGAGAGTGCAGCTTGCGCGGCAGTCTTGCCTCTATCCAGATATACCAGCTGTTGAGTTTGTGCATAGCCAAAGCTGCATATATTGCAAAGACCTTTCAAGCCCAATGCTCGATACGGACTTCCTTCCCAGGTGAGGTCAACAATTTCCTGAAATGTATTCATACCTTTCTCAACATCCCTATCATGCTTGGATGTCTTGGCAAGGAACACGAGGACTCGCTCTAGGTTGTCAAAATAGTCCTGCGGATCTTCGCGGTGTGCACCCGAGATCCTAAGCTCCAAGGCCTCCTTAGTTACTTGAACGGCTTCCTCGACGTCGTGGATGTCTTTTCTGGGCGATGTCTGATACCGTCTCTGAAGAGCGACGCCAAGAATAGCTAATGCGCCCGCTCGCCTCTCGTCGCCAGCGGCGAATGCGTTGACCGAGGCACGCGCATGTTGTATGGCAATGTTGAGGTCTTGAGCGAGATACCCTATTTCAAACTCTTGCAAAGCCTTTAAAGCTTTAGCGAGATGTTCTTGAGACTTCGACTGATCAGAATTCTGAAATGGCATTGGTTCGATATGCGGTTTCAAAGCGAATGAAGAGAGTAAGTCTGAAGCTCTTGGAGCTATTCAAAGTTCAAGGCTTTGCTGTCGCCTAGAATTCATCAATGGTGGAGATGCTGCCTGCTGAGTGTGGCGCAGCGCTGGAGGGTGGCGTGGCTACAGGGCATTGGGCAGCCCAAACTGTCGACAGCTGCGTAATACTTAGGTTTAGGAAGCTCAACAAATGAACAGGAAATCAGCGTTTTGTTGACTGGCACGGAGCAATCAGTTTCTGAGAGTTTTTGATATCAAGAACAGGTGGCTGGAACCAGGTGTCATAAAATCTTCCAGAATCGGGGTGACGCCATGACTGGTACAATGGACAGACCGTTCCTTGAGTCAGCAGCACGCTGTTCGACTTGCCTAGATCTCAACAAGGAGCATTTACGCCGCCAATGGCGAAAATTTGGTCGACTACCAGCATTAGATGCACCATATTCGATCACTCTCAAGAAAGTCGCAGAAAGTGTCGAGACGACATCATGTGCTGGTTGCACCCTCATTCTGAAGGCATCCCGGGTTATCAAGGATGAATTCAGCCTCAACTTCCAAAACGCCGTGCTCACATATGTCGACAAAAGCGGACAAGAAGGACTTTCATTAACATTGTCAATGTTACATCCTCTACATACAAGTCTTGGCGACTGGGAGAAGGCTCAAGAAAGCCTAGACCTGAAAACCTCGGTTCACACTGGCCCAAGATCGGACACCTCCAAAAGGCAGTGGGAGTACAAAATTAGTTCTCCCACATATGAGATATACAATCCAGAATACCATGAGAATTCGAAGGCCAGAGATGCCCCCAGAGTGAATGAATCCACGACAGCAATCAATGCCAACAAACGAGTTACGACTGAAGAGTGGACCAGCATCTTACCACGGCCTTCTCGATGTGGTGACTTGGGTGGTGACGAGGCAATCAAATGGACGCTCTCAAACATCAATCAGTGCTCTGGCTCACACAGAGTGTGCAGCAAGAATACAACAGGATGTGCGCTTCCAACCCGAGTACTAGACCTTAGCGAGAATATTCAAAATCAGCAATCAACAGACATTAGGTTACATATTAGTCGTGGGGAAAAGGAGCCTTATCTATGCCTCAGTCACTGCTGGGGCGCAGACAAAGAGTCAATGCCTCTCGAAACAACGCTCGAGAATTTGACCGAGTTTCAGCATGGTATACCCTGGGAAAGGCTCACACGAACCTTTCAAGACGCTGTGGTCTTTACGAGAAAGCTGGGCTACAGATACCTCTGGATCGACTCTCTCTGCATTGTTCAGAATGACAGAGAAGACTGGATGAAGGAAGCCGGAGAGATGGCGAGCATTTACGAAAATGCAGTACTCACACTCGCGGCAGCTTCATCGTCAAACAGTAATGGTGGTCTCTTCCGCTCATCAACGAGCAGCATCCAGCTTAGTGAAAGTTTTGAGACAGAACGCATATGTTTGAGAAGATTCGCCGATCCTACCTTCTTTCAGTATCAGCCAGAGGGAAAGAGCTCAAATACACGAGACGTGTCACCTCTGCTCAGGCGAGCTTGGGTGTTCCAGGAGCGGATGCTCTCACGCCGAGTCTTATTCTTCACACCGTTGGAGCTGGTTTTCGAATGTCGCACTTCAAGCAGTACTGAGTCAGGTTACTCATGGGTTGATTCAGCTACCAAAAGAGCTTTTACTGTGGCTGGCGACAAGAAGAATGCCAATCTTGAACTGGCGCGTCTATGGCGAAGTCTCGTCAAAGACTTCACTCAGCTCCAACTGACCATGTACAGAGACACACTCCCAGCCATGGCTGGTCTGGCTAAAAAGTTCCAACTACTACGCGGTGTAGACGCTAGCAGTTATTTGGCTGGACTTTGGAAACAGACGTTTATAGAAGACATGCTCTGGGAGACACCTCGTTGTGCTGTACGTCGGCACGAGACCGTAAATTCTCGCATACCAACATGGTCATGGGCCCGGAGCAGAGAACCCAAAAGCTATGACAATCATCACAGCTTAACGCTTTTGAGTAACCTTGAAAAGGCAGTATGCGAGCTGGATGGACAGTCACGAAGTGTTCTTACGGATGTAGATGCCGGCTACGCAATACTCTATGGATACTTGTTGAGGGCCAAGGCGACCAGTGGCGGACTCGTAATAGATCAGAACCCGCGAATCAGCCACAGTCCATTGAAGGACTATGACTGGTTTGGAGAAAGCCCGCAGAAAGTTGAAATTGGAGATGACCTTTTCATTCTTCCCCTTGCCTCAACCGCAAGTGGCCAAGGAGATGCTTATGTTCACTCTTTGATTCTCCGACCCTGCACTAACAATGAGACTACCTTCAATAGGATCGGGATATTCCAACCTTCGGTATATCATCTCAGGGGCCATGAGCACATATTTGAAGACAAGGATACGCTTCTATCGCTCTATAAAGAAGAAATTAGATATGGCGAGTCTTTGCTCGGGAGGGATGGATTGTATCGTGGATCGGATGAGCGATCTGACAAACCAAGATATTTGGCATCAAAGACTGATAAGGTGTACAAAGATTTTAAGTCGCGAGCCTGGTTACTTCATTTATGTCTAAACGGTAACATGACGGAAACGGAGCACCAAAAGTTCTGTGGGTTACCTCATCTCGAAATTCTCAAGGCTGCGATGAGAGAGGAAGAAGAAAGGATCCGCAAATGGGCTAATCCAAACAGTGAACAAGATGATCATGTTCCTAGAAGAGTAAGAGTGAAACTTGTATAAGTCTGTATAGCAGGGATGCAAGGGCTGCTTCACTTCGAACGATAGACAGAATTACCCAGTTCAGAGTTTGGGGCACCGCTTTAATTTTGGTAGCTTTATGCAATCTAGCTCTACATGGTATACACGAGGTTCATCGTATTCTATCGCCAACAATGAGTTTATTTGACAGCCATCAAGATTCCAGAAACTTTCTCGTAGATGGAGAAAACAATGCCACCACTGAATACAAGCCTTCCCAATCTCATCGTGCTACCTTTCCAATAACCGCGAACACCTGCATCTTTCCATATACTAGCAAATGCTTCAGTCGTACTAGCACCCTTAGCACTCTGAGTCCTGCTCTTGATAGTGTCAAACGGCTGGCTGGCATACACAGTGATCGTCCCTGCCAGTGCGCCAATTCCAAAAGTCATTGCACTATTTTGAGGTAGGCCATATGACTGGCTAGCCTGCTTCATGGTATTGTATGAGCCCATGCGAACGGCAGAAGTAGCACACTGTTTCATTGTGGTTGATCCGAGCCCTTTATACAAGCCGCCAAATCCCTGTTCCTTGACAATGAGACCAGTGGCATGAAGTGAAGAGCGATACCTCTTGGCGCCTCGTGCATCATCGATCCTGTCTTGGTCAGAATCACCGCCCAAGGATCCCTCTGATTTATAACAATAACACACTTACATGGCTGTCTTGATTCTCTCAGTAGGAGTGACTGCAGCGACGCTCTCAACACAGCCGGCGAACATGCCCGCGAAAATGGATCGAGACATCGTCAAGTGTCCCTTCTCATCTGAAAGTGCATTTTTGATGCCGTCGAATGACAAGAATCGAACTCCAGCTTTGAGAGCTGTGCCCTAGTTCGTGTTGATGATAAGATAGATAAAGCAGTGCATGAGTAGAATACGTACTGCTACGAGAGTCGAGCAACCGACATATAGACCTCTTATACCATCGTTGACAATGATATGTCTAACCATAGAAACAGGGTTTGAGACCGTGATATCTGACTTCAATTGAAGTCGCGTTTTAGCGAATTCAAATGGGTACTGAGCGATAAGATTAGAGCGGTATCAATGTTGTAGTTGTACGAGTTGGACTCACCGTGATGGCAGCCTCGCACCCGCCGGCAACGGCACCTGAGACACATGAGACTATGGGTGGAATATGCTGGCGATAAATCAGTTAAAATTCCGTGTAAGCATGTGACCAGGGATATACCTTCTTTTGCGGTTTTGCAGGTTGATTTCCTTGTAGTCCTTTTGCTGGGATGCCCAGCGATGGGCTGGTTTGGATCGGTTGCGACATGATGTTTCGTATGTTTATCCTTCAGCCATACGCATTCGATTTTCGACCGAGGCTCGTGGTAGCCGGCGGCCAAGAACATGAGAATCTGGCCGATCAAAACTCCCCCAGGTCACAATGCATCTAAATCGCGTCTTCTACGACTAATTCCACCGATCAGCGGCAGTAATCCCAGTGCTGACTGTACATACAGAGACACAGTCCGAGTTGCGACATTGTTGATGGGGAATACCCCTTGACCCACATGACAGGGGCAATGTACCCGCGGTCGTAGAATTGCCGCGGCAAGTAGGAATCAGCATACCGCTTAATGGCATCCGCTAACGATCGCCTGAGCCAAGCACTTGGCGCTATAACCCACGATGATTACAGGTGCCGTTTAGCCGTAAGACACGATTCTGTGACAGTGAAGAGTGTCTCCACTCGCAGGTGATTAACCTGTTCGGGGGCGCCCCGTACTCGAGTCAAGGTCTCACTGTGGCACTCCACGAAACAAATTGCGGGGAGCAAACATGTCGAAGGAACAAATACCGCGGCATCGTCGCTGCCGTGGAACTCTCTTACTGACATCAACAGAATGGACACAGACAACACCACAATCTATGCACACTCGCCAAAGAGAAAGCGGCGCGCGCCGGCGGCGTGTACCTTCTGTCGCGGCCGCAAGATCAAGTGCAATAATGAGCAGCCGCGTTGTAGCAATTGCAAGATCTACGAGAAGGAATGCATCTACGAGCAGAAAAAACAGAGACTGCCGGAGTATCTCCTTAGTCGGAGACCTTCAGAGGGCAATGCTGGTGTAAGTGTGAGACGGCAAGAACATCGCGGCCGGGTGCCGCTGCCGTTGAGCCCGGATGCAGACCGAGTACCGCAAACAGATGAGACGGACAGTCCCACTGCTCACCGGAGCATGAGAGGCTTGATTCTGAGCCCCAACGGCGATGGACCGGTAGAGTCTACTGTGGAGTCTGATCTTCCGCCCGCGGAAGGCAATGTAGGTGGCCGATATGGCGTCCCGAGCACATACTACGGGCCCACGAGCGCGCATTTTGAAGATGCATCGGTGCTTGGCACCCGTCGCCGGCCTGATATACCGCCGGACCTAGTCGAGAAAGTGCTTATGGCAGAGGCAGCACATCAACGGTATGTAATCTGACACCGGATTGTCTCCGTGTGCCGAGGATATGGCAAGGCTGGTGAGCCTTCTCGGCGAGCTCCTCGTTTCGTGGCATTCGTGATTACTCCTTAATTTGTCATGTAGTTGTCGGGCCCCTGTGCTCAATAGCTTAGATGAGTAGGCACGATCACTCTGCTGACTATGTCTTGGATTAGACAAATGGAAACTATCAACTACGCGGCCGGCAAACTGGACTTTGACGGTGTGGACCCAGAACTTGGCTTTCATCTCCTATCTCTACATTGGAACAGACAACATCATTCATTTCTTCTCACCTACCGCCCAGCCTTCATGCGAGATATGGCATGCGGCGGAAAGTATTTCTCCAAGCTTCTCCTCAACGCTATATACTATGGAGCGTCGAAGTTTAGTCCACGGTTAGAGTTGCGAAGAGACCCAAACGATGTTCGAACAGCAGGCTGGGCGTTCAGAAAACGGGTTAAGGAACTTCTCGGTGATGCATTGGATAGGAGTGAGATCACGACCATCCAGGCGCTCCTTGTGATGACTAATTCCTTGTTTGCCCTCGGCGATGAGAGGAGTGCGGCGTGGATGTATGCCGGGTTGGCATTCCGGATGATTGTCGATCTCGGTATCCATGTAGATAGGCCATTCGTCTCGGCATCTAGCATGCTGACCGAAGAGGATGTCGAGATACACCGCCGTGTCTTTTGGGGAGCATTTGGTTGGTTACGCTGAGATGCAAAAATGGCCCCGTTCATCAACTATACTGACTTATTCACACAGTGGTCGATAAGATCCAGTCGCTCTACCAAGGAAGACCACCAAGCATCCAAGACTTCGACACGAGGGTGCCCTTGATCTTCAGCGACAAATATGAAGAGCTAGAATCATGGACGCCGTTTGCGTTCAGCGAGTCTGCCAAGAACTACCCTGGCAGTCCCGCATATAGCGTGTCAACTTTCACAGAGCTGTGCAAGCTATGTGTGATTATGAATAAGATTATTAACAAAGTATACGCCGAGAAGAGTGCGAAGAAAGAGTCGTCTGAGCTCTGGAACGACCGCGAGACTCTGCAAAAAGAGTTGGAGAAGTGGAGCTCTGAGCTGCCAGATCATTTGGTCTATAGCACCGTGCAAGTGGACAAAGGGGTGACCGTGCCACCGCCTCACGTTATATCATTGCAGTATAGTTACTTCCACATGACAGTCAGGATTCGAGAGCTAACTTTTGTAGGGCCATGTACAATGTGCTTTTGATTCTACTAAATCGCCCCTTTGTCTCCGAGGGACGGCTAGACTCAAATTCCCCTTCACAGACCGTAGCCGCCAAAGCCTTCGCGCCCTGTGCAGCTGCAGCAACACGGATAGTGCAGCTCGTGCTAGCGTACGACCGCGCATTCTCTATCAAGCGAGCCCCCTACCTAATATCATACGCAACCTACGTCAGCGCCACCATCCACGTGCGCATCGCCGCGCAGCGCGCACCAAGATCCGACGCGCACACAAGCCTCGAGACGTGTCTCTCCGTGCTGGAAAAGAACGGCGAGACCAACTGGGCCGTGAGAAAAGCCAGAAAAGTCATCATCGACCTCGCCGAGAAGATGAGCGTAGCGCTCGAGAAGAGGCGCGTGATCAGTCCACGCTCGGCCGAGAAGATACCGCCCGGCCCGCAGAGCGTGGACGCGGAACAGATGCCACAGAATGACTATGCCAACGAGCTCGGGTTGACATTCCCCGATCTAGACATGGAGGCGATTGTGCAGAGTTTCATGCAAGAGCCGCCGGAGCAGGTGCGGATGGAGGAAGCTGGATTCGGCGGGCCGATGCAAAATCACGCAGGTACGGCGTATGCACAGCCACAGTATATCAACTCCGGCAACCTGGGTGGTAATAATAGCCTTGTAGCCTGGAACACGGGGCGCAGCAATATGTTGCAGACTGACGAGTTCCTGCCGGATGATGCACTGTTTGGTTTCAATAGGGCTGGTCTGGACGGCTACATGTGGAACTCTCCAAGCTGGGACCAGAGAACATAAGATTCGTAATCAAGGCAGCGGAAGAAATTTGCTTTGGTATTAGTCAATATGTGGTAGGAATATCATTGATCGAAAAAAAAGCGAGAGATTGTAAATGCTCAGAAACTGCTTGCTGTATAGATCAGACGTTAAGGCGCGACACATTTTGGCCCTACTTAGCCTTTCGTCTGCATCTCCATGCTACTATTCCCCGAAAGGACATTTCTATATGATAACAATAATGCCATGATCATCAATCATAAATGGTAGGGTTTGGTGTCCCTGATGATATATACCTCGGCAACGAGGACAACGCAGCCAACAGTCATAGCAAGAGCAATGATCGGGAGGTTAACTTTCGCAAATTCCAATGGGCGCACCTTGATATGTTTTTTACCAAGGATATCGCGCCACAGGAGGCCGGCAAGTGACGCACTGATGGCTGTGCTGAAGGCATCATAGTTGACCCCTAAAGCCAAGCTGTAAACCGTCGCCCAAAACGTGCGATCCGTGATAGGCTCGTGGTTGATGGCATGGATCTCAGTCCATGCTTGAATGACGCGCGACAAAAGGATTGTGGTTCCAATATTCGTTCCTGCAAACTGTTGTATAGTAATTAGTCAGCTTGGCACACCGGGACTTTGCTCCGTAGATTTTATCCAACTTACGTTGCATAGAGTCAATGATAAAAAGGCCATCCCGCCGATTGCGCCTACCGTCCCAGTCTTGTTGACCCAGTGGTCCCATCCGTAGGCGAATACTGGGACCCATCCCTTCGTCACCAATGCTTGCACAAGAACAAACATAGCGAAGGCGAAAGGAACCAATTCGTAGGGCAGATGCGCCAACACTACTGTGACTGTTGGAAATGTTTCCTGACACCATCGATACAAGTCCGCGAGGAGAGACTGGAGGGTTCGTGGTGGTTTTCTCTTTGGGTTCTCAAATTCGGGCGAGGCGTGTATCTCAGGGTCTGCAACTCGCCTCCTAATATCCGTCTCTGTGCTAAGAGTAGCAGCCAGCAGACCTCCAGGTTGTTTGCTAGATTCCACTCGTGGCAATTCCTCTTTCTGGACTAATATGCTTCCTCTGCTGATCGGTTGCTCACCGCTTTCCGTTACCCCTAGCGCTGAAGTGAGAGCAGTGGAGGAGCCCGATTTGGGTGGTCTCGCAGCAATACTATCGCCCACTAACATAGTATCGTCCCCAGTGACTCCAATTTTGATGTCTGCACAATCAGCACTGTCTGAGTCTAGTTCATGGACATCGCGCGTAGGCATTCGGTCCATTTCGATAACGATCGTTTCATCACCGTCATGCCTACTCTGAGGTGTCCGCCTAGCCTCGGCTTCCTCCCTGTCCCTCTCAGCTCGCTCAGCCTTTGCTCTTTCGAAGGCTTCTCGACCCTTGCGCGCGATTTCTCGTGTCTCGTGCCGATGGTACCAACCAAAGGCTACGTCCCAGCATAGCATAACAAATGCGGCTGGCAGAGTTACCCAGTAGACGTACCAATGACCGCTGCTTGTACTCAAAGCGTTGACAACTGATAACGTGATGAGTGTGACAGCCATGATGACGGCGCCAAAGGCCGCTCCACCCTTATCCAAGAAAGGGTTCATGATTTCCTCGAGCGGTAGAAGCTTAGCTTGATCATCGTTAGAGGGATTGTCGACCTGGCCCTCCGCCTCTCCTCTTGCATGCGGAATATTAGGATTCACTGGCTTCCTTGCCCTGACTTCTTCCGGAAGCTCGTGCAGGTTAATCTTGACGGGGATGAGGGTTTCATCCAAGAAGATAATGTAGAGCAAGAAGGGAAAGAGCACTATGGCGGTGATGACGACCGGTACAATCATATTGGCTGTGTAGTGGATGAACTTGATATCGAAAGCACCAGCCAGTACCAAGTTCGTCGGGTTCGAAGAGACAAGGATTGCTGACGCAATGTTGGCCACTGCAAACTGAGAATGGATCCATGCTCTCGGATGTACAATGTTTGAAGAAACTCTGGTCATGTATGCAAGGAAAGCAGTGCCGGACAGGATGATGGGGTCATTTCCAATGAAGCTGCCCAGGGCGAAAAAGAAGGCATAGAGGTAGAAAAATAACCTGTGTCCTTCCTGCCCTCCCCATTTCAAAACCCTAAATGCTAGGTATCTGATGAGGCCCGATGCATCGATAGAGATGGCGATGTATGCCAAGGTGAGGAAGAAGGCCATAATGTCGATGGGCGAGATATTGTTCGCGCCAATGGTGCCATCATGTAATTCTTTCCTACCGATAGCCAAGATAGCGAGCAGGAAAAGATCTGCTATCAAGGGCGCCGTGACATAATTCATGGGAAACATGAGCATCCTGAATCTCCCATGCCTGCCAGGCTGCTCATTGGCGGAGCCATTCTGAGCGCTGGGCTTTTGTCTAGGAGGCATGATGCGAACTGCGCTCAGCGTATCCGATACAGCATCTGAAAACCACCATGGCACAGGTATGGGAGTGTGGAAAGGGAAGAGAACCACGAGGTCTGGTCGGTGTTAGTGTTACTCGTTCCTCCTCGGTGGCGGGAGTCGTCCAATATGAGAGACTCACTGGTGAGGACGAATACAACGAGGGTGATGATCGACCGCCAATCCTTGATCTTACTGGTATCGAGGTCGATGTCAATCGTGTCCTTGTCTCCTGCCATTGTGATAGGCGCTTCAAAGTAGTTGCTAGGCCATCAACTCTCCATCGGCGATGATAGCGATGATGGTAATGCTAGGTGACGCAGAGGATATGGCGCACTTTTGCTGTTGTCGCTGTCGTGATGAGACCGCTGCTCCGTCAATACATGGATCGAGACGAATCTTGAGATAAGGTATTCAGCCTCAAATACCCAATGCCCAGGACAGTCGGGAAGTGCGGGGCACGGATGCCACTACGGCGCCAGACCCGGTTACTGGACTTGGGTAAGGTTAGGTAAGGTAGCAGTGCCAAGCATGCCCTGGGGCGGGGCCGGCAATTAACTCAGTGTCCCGCCGCTAACGTTATGACGGAATGTGTCGGATCCACCGGGAGTGATTTACATGCGAACGAATACATCGATTCCATCACCTCAAGTTTTGCACAAAGAGCGGAAAGTCTTCGACGCGGAGATGTCCTCTTCTAGGGCAAGGAGCTACTACAGCTGCCCACTGCCCGGAAGACCCACGAGACAAAGATCAGATAAGCCAGGAGATGTCCGAATGCATCAAGATGAATACTTCTATTCAGACCATTATCTAAGAACTCGAGGACCACTATTCATAGGCATTAGATGTCAACCGCTCCTCGCCGGATGCCCGAGACGGGTAGCCAAATGACCTAAGCAGAAAACCCAGGGTGAAGTGATTTATGACAGAATCAAGTTGCTCATCGTCATGGTGAATGTTTCCTAGACAAATCATACAGAACGCTTATCCTCGCACGGCACACCTCTAAGCCACCGGTTTTGCGCTTTGAGACACGTCAGACATTCCCTGCATGTACTTCAAGAGCTGCCGGCCTGTGAATCGGCCGTCAAAAATGGATTGCAAGTCGTCGAAGAGGGTCATCGGGTCTTCGACTCCTTTCAAGAAATCCGAGGCATATTGTGAATACTCGCCCAACACCTTTAGGGCATCGGCCTCCAGTTTCTTGGCGTCCTCCTCCTCAATTCCTTGCTCGCGGAACATCTTGGATAGATGAAGTTGAGCTCTTCCCAGTGCCTCTTCCGGGAACTTTGAGGTTCTCGCGCATTCGATGCACTCAATCATGTAGTCACTGCGGCTCGAAGGTCAGCATCGTTTTGATGTAAACATGATTCATAGAGATGGCAAGACTTACATGGCGGTTGGCACAGCCTTGAGGTGGTGATACATGGCGCCGACAGCGTAGGTGCTGAAAATCGTGTTCTGGTCGTGTTGGCCAAAGAGATCCAGCCTACCGTTCAGAGTTTCCAAATGGATTTCCAGGGCTTTCTGGGAATTTCCTGACTGGTGGATGATGCACGCCAGGGAGAATTTGTATTGCCAGTACTGCCATGTTTGAGTGGAGTGCTTCGCGGCAAGCTCGACACACTTCTCCATAGACTCAATGGCGTCCTGGTAATTGCCATGTCTCATCTGCACAAACGCATTGCAGTTGTAATACTTCGCATACTCGAATGGGATGTCATCCTCCGTACCCCATGTGCGGTACTGTTCCAAGCACCCTTCAAGGAGCTTGCCAGCCTCTTCATATTCATTCTTATTGAGGAGACACGATGCAAGATCGTTGGCGGCGTTCCGAAGCAGCACATCACTGTCATTGTCCTCTGGATTAGATTCGTAGATGACTTGTCGGATGCGGAGCGCGGCCTGTGCCTTCCTAATACTCTCGTCCCTGAAAGCAGAACCGGCCCCGTTATAGTAGATTCCAGCGATGCTATGTATATCGGCGCGCAGCTTTCCGTTCGGGTCGAAGTCAATTGCATCGAGCTGTTCTTCTGCGCACTTCAGGAAAGATAGGCCATCATATGCTGTCGTCTGTCTCTCCCATACATGAAATCCAGCATTGTAAAACAGCTCTGCAAGATTGAGTGTTGGCCAAATGCGTTTGGTATGGTTGTATTCCTGGTATATCCGGTGAAGACTAGACACATGTAGCATATACTTCTCACAGTCTGCCCATTTGGCTGGTTCCGGGACTTGAATTGGGGAGGCGGGTGGATATTTCTTTCGGATCAGAAAAAGCGCGCTCTGAAATGTTTCACTAAATTTGTAGCCAAAGGTTTCCCCTATCTTGTAGCTGTCCATGTCCGACAAAATCTTTGTCTGAAGAAGCCGATGGATACTATATGTCTCATTACCGGTTTCGTCCCTCACGACTGCGATGAGTTTCCGGCCGCTTAATTGGTCAATCATCCGCTTATATCTGAACACAACTTTCATCAGCTCTCTCGTTGTACAAATGGTATTATGGAGGATTTGACATTCTGTTTTCAGAATCTCAGTACATACCTGATTGTCTCGGCCGAGTTTAGGAATTCCAATGCTTCTTCCGTGTGATCGCCGACAAGCAGGTCCTTGGGGATGGCTTCAGGGTCGAGAAAGGAAAGTATATCGAGGAGGCTGCGAGCTTTAAGCGAGAGCTCGCCAATACCAATGTCCCATAGTGAATCGATAGCAGCATCTACAAAACCTTGGGATACAGGCTTGCTTTTCTTCTTCTTTTTTGACATTTCCTCTCGCTCTTCCCAAGTCTCCAGGAATTCCTCTATTGGACAACGTGACACTTTCAGATAACCTGCTACCATGCTGACGGCTAGTGGTAGTTGCCCTACAAGCCTGGAGGCTTCTGCAGCGAGCGCATAGTCTGGATGCTTTGACCAGTCCTCTTCAGAAGATGATGATTGCATGGACTTGAGAAGAAGGCTGGTGGCTTCTTCGAGAGGTAAGATATCTAGATTGAAGTGGAAGTAGTTTCTGGAAGTCCTCGGCCAGAAGTTGGTTTCGCGGGCTGTAATGAGTATCGAGCCGTTGGTTTTTGGCATGTTCCTTGGAATATAGGGCAATATATCTGACCACTCCTCCACGTTGTCGAATACTATTAAAAAGGTTCTTTCGGTCGTGCTGAGATATTCTCTCGCGAGATTAATGAGAGCAGCCTCCCCTCGCTTTGAATCGCTAACTATGCCTAGGTTTTCGGCAATTTGGGCGTACTTGTTAGCACACCCTCCAGCTGTCTCGGCCTCAATCCAAAATATTGCGGAGTACTCGGACTCGAACTTGTAGGAGTACTCCACAGCTGTGGCAGTCTTTCCTATACCGCCACGCCCACTCATCAGACCGATCTGGCCGGGCTTTGACAGCACCGCGTGAAGACGATCCAGACTATCTTTTCTCCCCACAAACTCAACAGATCTGGGAGGACGATTGAAACGAACAAGTTCATCGGTGACCTGACTGATCGACTCGTGGTCTTCCGTCTCCCGTTTGTCCTCTAGGAATATATTCACTCTATTCTCCCAATCATCTTTCTCTTTTCTGGGCGGCTGATCCTCTCCGTTATCTGCCATATCTGACGAGTCAACGGTACGCGCTTCCGTAGCCCCGAAGGTAGGTCTAAGGGGTTGAAGATTTTTCCACGCCAGCTTGTACTGATGATCGACTTGAACCTCTGGCAAGTCTGAACGGGCAAGTTCATAGATTGAGGCTTGCTCAGCAACATATTGACCGAGAAGCAGCTCACTGGGCTGACTGGGGCCTTCCATCTTGTCATCTCCACCATCTGATGCGTCGTCGTCTGAGTCTTCTTGGAAGTAAATGGCTGTCAAGCCAAACTGCTCGAGGTGATTGGCAACGTGATCCTTTAGTTTGGCTGCATCACGAAAGGATGCCAGACACAAGGCACAAAGATTTGTTCTCATCACCGGAGGAGATAGACCCTTGAATGCGTCAATGACCGCAGCGGACAGATCAGTGGATGGAAATAAATCTGCGTGAGAGGCGAGCAGGTGATCATGGAATAGGACTTCAGAGGAGAACTCTTTGAGGCAAGTGGGACTGTGACAGACCCAGACTTTCTGCAGCCTGTGCTCACAGGTCTCATGTTGAAACCACTCTTCCTGGCTGCCAAAGGTCTTGTGTGCATGTAAACAATGGTCAAAGGTGCAAATATATGGTTCAATGTCCAAAAACACATGATTAGACCAGTCTTTCTCCGTGATGTTTTGCAGGTCAAGAGGGAGTTCAAAGAGACAGTAAGGGCAGTTGAAGGAGAGACCAGAACTAAGCTTGACAGGGGGATCGGGAACTTTGAATCGGGTGGCAGGCGAATCTTGTGTTTCAGCAACTGATGTTCCCAATGCTGAGTGGAATAAACCATTGGAAAATACCGTGTCCAGAGCGGTTGAAGCAATAGTTGATATTCCAGCCTCAGAGTCTCCTCTCCTAGAGCGATAGCGTTGGAGAGCCCTCCGTGTGCGCCGTAGGCGAGAAGCTTGATTGTTTGCCGAGGTTGTCTTTTGCTTCGCGTGATGCAATTCGCCTAGTGCGTGATCTGCGCCAATGGTCGTAGCGCCTGATGCCTTGAGCCGTTGTCGACGTACCCAATTGGCCTTGGCAAGACGTTGTTTGAGAAATTCTGGCGCATTGGGAAACATCTCCAGAGCCATCTGCAAGTCGGTAGCTGCCCCTTCCTCGGTCCATTCAATGGTGAGGTTGTCTCTTGCAGGTTGTCTTAGCTCGGGTAACATCTCCGACAGACAGCTCATGATCTCTACCGCGTCATCCATGTACTTATCGGGATCTAAGTCGGAGTCTATATCGTCTTGTGGATCGAAATCCTCTAAGCTTGGAACCTTGCCTCCAACGCTACTAACCGCGTCGGAAGCCACTCCATATCTTGGAGGAATCTCATCTATTCCTGTTCAAGCATTTATTAGAACATTTGGGCTGTAACTTCAGTATGAGCATGTTGGGAGGGTTGTACCAAGTTGGAGGATCTCATGTAGGTCTGTTAGATGCTGCAGAATTGCAGTCCGCAATGGCGAAGAACTTCGCAGAGCATGGTCGAGTGCTCGCGAGTTGGCCCCGGTATCATGACCCCATACTTTCAACTTTGTCTCACATTCCTCCGCTAGAAGAAAGACTTGCTCAGTTTCCGCTGGACTTCCACTAAGGGTTGAGCAAAGTCGATTTATGAGCTGCGAACAATCCTCGAATCTTGCCGCAATTGGCGCCTTAGACCGCAACTCGTTGCATTCTTGATCTCGAAGAGCTTTCCAGTCGGCCATCTGAAGGTCCATGCTACCCAGCATTTATCATCTAGAGAAAGCGTTTGGGAGATGTGTGCATTTACCACTATTTTGCGAACTGGGAAGGATGAATTATGAACCACTGTACTGAAAGGAGAAAGCGAAATTGTAGCATGGTCAAAAAATGAATGACAACCCAAGGAATCACATTTGACGGGGCATAGGTCCAGGCTCCTGAGACAAGCTTTCACCCAACGCCGCAAGGCTCTAGGATTTGATCGGCGCAAACTAGAGCCGCAGGCTTCCCTGCACTTCTGCACGATCCTTGCTACAGAATGCCTGATTTGGTGCCGTCACCCGAACGGCTGCATTTATAAGGTTGCGGGCAGCCATATGATTCGACCTTCGTGATGGTTTCCTGCAATGGGGCTGAAAGTACGGGCTCACCGAAAACCGCCACGTAAGCACAGACATGCCTACCCGCATGGCCGGGCGATAAGGCTCTCTACACCTGTTCTCTGCCCCAAGGCTCCGAAGTGTCCGGTCTTTGTCCACGAAGCGGTTCCTCCTCCTCTGCCATTTGTTTCAGTCGATACTTCTGGTCAAGACATTATACTTCGTAGTGTTGATTTTACTGCCATAACATCTTGGCTCTTCTTGGTATCTCCATCTACGAGCTCTTGGCTCTATTCTGGTCTCGTGTTAAATGCTTTAGAACTCCATTTCGCAAATGTCTGGCTGGGAGGTAATCGGCCTGGTTCTCGCCTTGTATCCAATTGTCGAAACAGCTGTGAAGCTCTACGGAGAGGCCAAGCCCGGTCGTACTGCTTCGTCTCTGACCCGTAAACTCAAGACGGAGGCGATCATATACGATCAGTTCGTGCGGAACCTACTCAACCCTGTTGTATCGGGACCTGTACTGGACAAACTACTCGATCGATCGTCACCTACTTTGCAGGAAACATGGCAAGATGGACATCTTCACAAAGAACTTCTCACCAGACTTGGTTCATTAAAGTCGAATCACCTCTTAGAATTATTGCTGGATATGAACAAACGGCTTAAAGCGCTTGAGATTGAGCTGAGTAACATCAGCCGTGGAACCGTAAGACTGTTTCCCCTGCTGAGCCTCATGACTTTACTTACTGACCCAAACAAAGGAAGTACTAGAGAAATTCAGAAGTAGGCTCAGGGCAGCACGAGCTAATTCACGCAAGTCAACGGTTCAACTGAATTTGGCTGCGGTCTCTGAGCTCAACAAGGATCTCCGTCGCCTGTTGATGTCTGATGCGATATCAATCGTCCGTTCTTCCAACAAAGATGACACTACACAGTTGGACTACATCAAGTTTCTTCATCGGGAGAACGCTGATCTTGAAGAGCTTTACGAGATCATGTGTCATGGTTACGCATGCACATGTCATGAGTCGCACCTTGTCACCGTCGGATGTCATTGCTCATCTTGTCAAGAACCATTTGGTCTCTCAAAGAGGAAAAGTTCCAGTTGGGCTCCCGAGCTTCTCCTCTGGCCAAGAGGCACTGCTAGTTTACAGCCCGAGATAGCTGTGTCAAGTAACGGGTCAAATGCCGAAACGAATACCGCGGATTCAGATAGTGTCGACGACACAGCGTAAGTCACGGTGAAATTGTGGAAGCCCACTTGGAGAATATAGCTGATATTGATTCGGTAGGGGTAGGGGTGCTACCAACAAGTCCAGGACATTCTCTCTGCCTGAGATGGCGCAGGTATCACCACTGGAATCTGCTCCTAAAAAGCGGAGCCGTTCCATCTCAGTTTCACCTTGTCGTGATAGCGAACAGCTTGGGGGAAAGGAGATCATACAAGATCTCTGCTCTACTATTGATAAATTCCAGAAAGAAGCGGGCAAGGCAAAGAATATTCTTGGAATCTTGGAAAAGGAGAACAAAAGATTTACACTAAGCATCAACGAAGTACGAGGTAATGATGCAGAAGCGAACATAGTTCGCCTAGCAGATTTGATCAAGATTAATGGGCCGGCTTTCAGCACAAAAAAGCGACTCCAAATTGCTTTTCAGCTTTGTCTGAGCGTCCTTCAGCTTTGTACTACGCCCTGGATTGATGACTCATGGACTTGGGACGAGTGCTGCGTCGTTAGGAAGGTTGAAACGCAGCCTGCTGAAGGAGTGGAGGAGGACGATGACTTTGAAGTCCGGGACGAGACGTACCACCTCTTCGTCACGCAGCAATTCTATTCAGCCCAGTTGGCAGTCAAGAAAGGCAAGGCTAGACGGCCCAAGACTATGCTAAACCTACTTGTAGGTGAGCCTGTGGGTACCGTACTGATCAAGCTAGGGTGCGCTCTCATCGAGCTGGGATTTGGAAAAACAATGCAGGACATCCGAGATGAAAAGCCCCCAAACTGGTTGGGCGGCCTGGATAAGAACCTTGACTCTGCATCTCTGGATTTCCTGACAGCAACCAAGCTCCTTGACTCGGGTAGTGTGACTGAAGAGGTTGGAATGGATTATGCAAACGTCATCAGGGCTTGTATCAATCGTCAATACGAAGATGCGCAGCAGTCGTGTGTCAAGGTTTTCACCTCGGGCGGGGAGAAATTCTATGATTATGCCGAAGAGGCAATCATGCACCCTCTTTTCGATTGGGTGAAGGTGTTTGGGTAGTCTCCGAAGTAGTTGATCCGCTTGAATGTTCGGAACATTGTCCCGGAGCCTCGCCCACGGAGCTACAGATAGCATTATATATACCGCCATTAAGTGTTTATAAGCTTGCCGCGTATCTAAACAACGGTGTTGCTATTCATGCTGCATCAATAAATTATAACGTCCTTAAGTCCTTCATTAGGTTAATGTCCTCTAATGTCCTCTAACCGTAAATACCCAAACACGAAACGCAAAATGATACGAGGCAGGAGGCATATCTAGGCAAGTCTTAAAGGTAATCTAATCAAGCTGGAGGTCCAAAGGTTGGTAGGAATATACCCAGATTACCACGCTGGCCGCCCAGTTCAGGTGCTGGTGCTTGCTGCATGGTGAGTCCCGACTCCCTCCAAACCCTCCACTACCTACCTTATTCCCTACCATCCAACCCACCGACAACCAAACAGAGAATGACTAGCTATGAGCCTCTTCACCTCCCTCCTTTTCGATACAGCATCTTCGATTGCAAAGTGTAAAACTGGAGTGGCTCGGCTCACTGCACGAACTTGTGCACACAAACTCGCCTTTTATGTTGACTGGCTACGTTACCCTTTGTTCCCTTGACACCTCAATGTGCCGGGACGGATGAGCCACGCCTCAGCATGCTAGCACTCATAGCA